TTCTGATTGGCCTTTGTGATGCGTAGCGCATCCCAGAAAAGCTTGATCGTTATTAAAGTCCTTACGTCAACAAAGTGTTGTACAATATGTCTAGGTTCTGAATATAGTAGAACCAATTCATTTTGATTTTTGACATTTTTAGTCGATCTCACTCTATATTCACTGTTAGTGTTGTGGTTCGAGAAAATACTCCTAATGGAGAAGAACTAGTCAAACAGGTTAGTTTCGTCCATTCTCAAGCTTCACGTGCAGTCCTCTTTTCTAAAAATGTTTTCTTCTAAACGGTAGTTGGTGCCCTTGGTTCTGTATAGGTACGCACGAGTACACGCTCTAAGGCTGCGTTCATACTTTGCGGCAGCGGCCACCAGCGCTTCGAGCTTCCGTCAGTGCTAGTTTCTAGGAAAGTATAGATATCGATCCAGAGCACCCAGCGTCCACGAGTCGAGTGGAGAGTGTAGGGAAGTAGGACTAATGGATAGAGTATGGCGAAGTAGGAGGGAGCAGACTGCTGGATAAGGCGTCCTGAAATTGCGGCGTAGGCAGCATTACCTACTACCACACAATACCATAAATTAAATTGCATAATTCTGTGCTTTAGCAGCTGCACGGTGCGGTTGCATACGCCGCAATTTCACGGTGCCCAGTTTAGCTGCCTGCTCCCTCCTACCTCTCCATACTCTACTAGCAGTCTGCTTCTTGCTATTTCCCTATACTCTCCGATCTGGACGTTGGCGAACGCTGGTTGACGCTGCCGTTCGCTGGATATTATAGATAGCTATACTTCCCTAGTCGCTAGCCCTGAGAAGCTCGAAACACTGTTGGTGGTTGGGGCAGCGTATGAACGCAGCCTAACATGGGTGATGAAGGATCAGAAATGATCTTTAGGAACACTTTTCTGACCTTTTATGCCTCTATAGAGACGAATCTGTGAAAAATAAGGGATCACCGCCCTTAATTTTCACGGGCTTATCTTTTTAGGGGCACAAAAAGACGCTGACGAGCAGCACTGCTCCTCCCCATGGTTCTCTTCAACTAGCTTATCTTCTAGTGAATGACCATGAAAGAACTTGTCTCGTTCACAGGGTAAACTAAACTTGGTTCGACCTCGCTGGCTCCGAACACATTGGACGATCTGGTGCAGAGGGTAAACGCGCCAAAGAAGCAGGTTTGCAGCTATTTCTTCACTTAAAGTAAGATAGCAAACCAATCATGTTCTTCAGGAAATATAAACCAATCACTTCTCACCCTGGGTCGCGTAATCACAGCTCTGACGACGTCTGCCCCTCATGTTCCTTACAGGTATCCTATTACAGCTACTGGTGTCTGACCCTGTTTTCAGTGTGTTTAACGACCTATGCCGCTTAGAGAGTCGAAACTCACCCGTCTCCTACAAGACAGTCTCGGCGGCTCAACCATAACGTCTATTATCGCAACGCTTTCGCCCGCATCGTCGAATTATGAGGTTATTTTTAAGACTTCTTCAGTTAAGGATACTTTTTCAGCCATTAATAGTAAGTGTTCAGGAGAGCATTTCTACTTTGGAATATGCAGCGAGAGCGAAATCCATTAGAAATCACCCTGAGTGCAATCAGAAGCTCTCCAGAAAGGCCCTCCTCAAGGTTGAAACATTCAGCTTAGTTTACGCTAGCTACAGATGAAAAGTTCTAGTTCATTTCAAGGAATACAATGAGGAGATCGAGAAACTTCGTAGAGATCTTTCGCACCGCGCGCGAGAAAAATGGTATCTTTCTAAGTCTAAGAAAGTTACGAGCTGGGTTCCTTTTGCAAATAGCTATTGTTTAATGGTTTTGAAGCCATGACCTCTTCGACGGAAATGCTCTCTTCAAACGTATATCACGACAATAAAAAATAATTATATTAATAGAAAAAAGAAAAGAGAAGAAAAGAGATCTCGGGAAAAGAAGCCGCGGAACAGCTTCGAGAACTGGAAGGACAGCTGGATGTTGCCATTGGGAAACTCCAGAAAGTATGTGCAATGGGTCTTTTCTTGCACTATGTTTTTTTTGCTTTCTGCTTTTTATTCCCCTTTGTCATGAGCCCACTGCCAGGGTTCTCGACATAAACAGTAGTCCTTGCTTCTGAGGAAAAGGGTGGGGCTTACCGAGTCCCGGGATATGTCGGTAATGTTTATATTGCATTTCTGCGTGCTTCGCTTATTGCGTGGGTATATATACAGTCCTCATCATTGCAGACCGGTGGGGCGGTGCGTGTGACTCGGCTGTGACGCGGCAGCGATGACAGTCGCGTCACAGCCGAGTCACACGCACCGCCCCACGCGAGTCTGCAATGATAGCACCTACATCACTCTTCCTGTCTGGATCAAAAAGCAAACACGCAGACATGACGTGATGAGGTGATGTGGTTGCAGTGCCTCGTGTGCGCCCCCCCCCCCTTCCCAACCATCTTTGGGGACACGGACATGGCATCATGCTTTGTCTCGCCTCGCGTGTGGACGTATCAGCGGCGATGCGGATGCGCTTTGGTGGTTGAATTTAAGTTCGTGACTAGTGGGTAGCCGAAACCCATATGAATGCCAGCAAGACAAGATTTCAGCTGCCTGTCGAGGGACAGTTTTAGCCTGTTATTGCTTTTGGAGCGAATTAATCTCAACCATTAGTATGGACCAGCCAGGACAACTCGAGTCCATGAGCGGCGTCGCTCCACGCCCACCAGCGCGCGTATTGTTCGGGATGTAGTCAATGTCATAGCTACCCTATCTTTGTACCCAAATCTAGGCAAATGTGGAAGTAGATCCTTAAGTCTGTGAATCACTTTCGATCGGTGAAGCGTCCTGCTGGGACAACCCTGATTGGGGAGTAAATACGGAGCCAAATGTGGCGCACTATTATCGCAGGCAGCCGAAGCGTGTCCGGGCGCGGGTTTCGGCACGACGCGAGCCCTTTCTCCACCACTCACAGGCTTGACGGCATGCGGCAAAAACCACTCACACTTGACCACGCCGATAACTTCAAGGGCATAGCGGCTGGAACTTACTATGTGGCTTAAAGTACGATAAATTTCTATCGCGTTCTGACGTTCACGTTGAACACTAGGCTATTTTATAAAATTACTGAAGTTGGAATGTGATTCAAATCAGGGCACAACAAAAGCAGCAGAACGTTGCATGTATTCAAGGTGTCAAATTTAATGTTTTCAGTTCATAGAAGATCAAGAACTCATGGATGAGCAGTATCGCGAACTGTACCACCGAAATAAGAGGCTCGAGGCGAAACTGCGTCAACGAGTAGACGAGTTCTCAAAGAAGGCTGTGAATATGGGCCGTTATGTTGGATATCTGCTCCCGTTTTACCCGAAACTTGGCTTCGCTCCAACGTTTCTCCTCAGACGCGCTTTTCCAGGAGCTGAGTGTAACTACTGAACGTCTTAACACAGTGGACAGTGCCTTCCAAGAGGTTCATGATTTAGCCACAAGATTGTATCTGCGCCTGAAAGAGGTAGGCTCTGTGAGAAATACTTGTTCTGCTGAGTTTCAGGGCACATGGTCTTGGTTTCTGCTGCTTTGTAGGCACGAGAAAATGTTCTTCGCACCAGCAGTTGCTTAGTAGGAAATGGTGGGCAAAGGAGGAAAGCCTTTCTCATGTGATCGCTCTCAATAAACAAGTTGTTGTGGGTGCTCGCGCAAAGGTACAACTATTACTTTTTTGGACTTTTTATATGTTGTTTTGGTTTCTGGTTGTGCCAAGTATGGCAGGACCACACTTGAGCGATACCACGCGGCGGTCGGAGGAAAAAACACCCTTACGCGTAAGCGGCGCGGTTTTTTGATGTCATCCCGTCGGCGGTAGGGTGAAGCGAGGGACGATGGCCCGCGCCTCCAACGCTGTGCGCAATCAGCAGTTCGTTCAAAACAGGCGAAAAAGATGAAAAAAAACATCGTTGAGCAAAACAAAGGTGAATTGGTGTAGTCGTGTGCAGAACTAGAGAGAAGTCTTCATCTTCTTCTTCTCCCTAGCGTTAGTCCCGCGCCGTCACAGGGTCCGCTGAGAAGTAGAGAAAAGTCGAGGGGCGAATTATTTATCAACGGCAAAACTGGCGAAATAGTCTGCTTCGATTGCGGAAACGACACAAACAGCTCTTACGCAAACGTTGTAAGGTGAGGACGACGAAGGTTTGGCAAATTGCCAACAGCTGGCTGTGACAATGTTATAACATTTGCGTAAGAGCTGTTTGCGTCGTTTTCGCAGTCGCAGGGGACTATTTCGCCAGTTTCGCCATTGGCTGAAGTAATCGCCCTGATAGTCGACTTTGCTGTATTCTCTGCTCACCACTACCACTAACTCACCTATTATTTGTTCGATCCTCTCTTCTCTCTTTTTCCTCTTTTTCCATCCACACAAAAGCGGCTGCTCACTGGAGCACGGTGGCGGAGGCAGGCTACTCGCCCTTCGCCCTGTCGCCGCGGTGACATCAAAAGAACGCGCCCCATATGCGCACGGGTGAGTTTTCCACGGAGCCCCACGCGGCGGCACTATTGGGACCTTTCTAGGAGAAGAGCACTCCGGGTTTTTCAAGCCGCATGTCATGCGCGAAAATTCGTAAGTGTGTGAGTTCACTGTGATTATAGAGTGGGTACGGCATCCTTAGAAGAAGGACGATCAGGGAGTGGTACCAGAGATGAAAAACTTTGAGGACTATGCCGCCAGTTCACGCTTCACAATTCTATACCCTGTAAAGGACACATTTCACTAGGGAAATACAGAGAAGAACCGAAAGCTGATGCGGTTAATGGGTTTGAGTTGCAGTGTACGATGCTGACTGCGTGGCCCGTGCGAAGGGACGTCTAGCGTTACATTTGCAACGCGGCGAGCGCATCCAAAGAGGAAGTTAGGGGGGATCACTATCTGCGTGAGAGGATGCAGAGGAGTTGACATATGGCCTCATGGCCCCTCTCAACGCAATAATTACACAGAAGAGTCTCATTCACTTATAATGTCAGTAAGGTGAGTAAGTTTCAGGTGATGGCAGAAGTGACGGAATGTTGCAGTGCGATTTCCACATTCATTGAACATGGCATGGAACGTCGTGAATCTCTCAACAAGGCGATCGGTAGATTTGACAACTTTATGTTTTTGACTCCCTATTCCTTTACATGAGGACAAATGCAATGTTTCTGCAAAATATCGTGATGCACGGCTCATTTCTTTCAGAATCTGGGCTCTCAACTGTAAATGAGTCTCTGAACGGTTGTAAAGATAGTGCATCGAGTGGTATTGAAGAATTGCGTAAATGGATACAAGAATCTGAGGAGCTTTGTAAAACCGTTATGCCAAAGATTATTGCACTCTCAGATTGCTCTACTCTGCTCATCAACGAGAAACTAGTTAGTTTATCTACTGTATTATAGGGAAATCAGAGTCTGTATGCCTTTACTGACGTATTTTACAGAACAGCCAGATAGCAGAGTTCACGGTACTGAACACCGATGTTTCGCAGCTCCTTTCAGTTGTTAGGAACGAGACGATGAAACTATCGCATACACTGGAGGAGTTGAAAAAGGAGTCGGATTTTATGGTGAGCTACACTCTTTCCAAAAATCTTTTAAGGTGTTGGTCGCTCAAAGGTATGCTTCCAATCAGTCGCCCAAAGGTATGCTTTTAATCAATCTTTTCGCGAGATTGAAGACTTTGCGCTGTTGCGCTTCGCTTAGAAGAGCAATTTACCTATTTTCTAATCGCTCGAGGAGTTCCCCTCATCGATGTCCGTAGTATGGGTGTCCGGATAGTAATGGATAAGCGTGGGGAACTCACATCTCACTTATTGTTTCATTCAGCAACATTCGTCTGCAATTTGAGCACGTTGTGTACACGCTGAGACACATTTTGCTGACAGCGCCTCAATAATTCTTCAACAAGTTTTCGCGAATTGCGGCTCCAAGAGTTTGCTCTATCGTATGCGGACCTACTTTCGTCAAAATCGAAGGCAACGTGTACCCTCACGTTTTTGTATCCTTATCCTTGCCATGCGCAGGAGAGTTCCGGGTAGCCTGCCACTTTCTCCAGCATAAAGTGCACGGGGACGGGACTGCAGGGTAGGTATAACACGATGGATACTCTATACTCAGCCTAGCGCTGAGCGAAGTGCGGAAACGGCACTCGGGTACCACTACCCTACAGCTTCGCTTACATGCACTTTAAACCGAGAAATTGGCACTACTGCAGCTGCTTACCCGTTTACCTCGCAAATGGCAGTGACCAGATTTCCTGATTGTGAGGTGAGTCTACAGTCTGTAATTGAGCATTGTGTGCACACTTACATCTTACTAACAGCTCCGGAATGTCTCTTCAGTAAAGTATCGCGGGTTTCTCCTCGAAGTATTGTCCAATCGGCCTGTTGTCCTGATTATGCAAGATCCTTTTCTCTCAGACGATTATTGAACACGCACTCACGTTTTAAGCGGTGGAAGGGGTAAAATTGGAGAGTACGGTGGGTGGGGCACCGTAGGCTTCTGACCGTGTTCTCTTGCTGATGAAGGGTGGGGTGAACAGAATTGGTTTATACGCCGTGTTCTTCTTATCTTGTCTCGAACGGCTGCTGCAACCACATGAATTGCTTTGTGTAAACGTGAATTGTGACCGATTGTCCTTCATCAGGAACATCTTGTTTAGCGTTGTTCATGAATCTCGGAAGTTTTGCATCGTTTTCCGCGTGGTTATCGTCAGACGCAAAGTGGTGTGGCCACCGATTGACCCCAAATCTCCTGGCGTTTCCTTTCCTCATTGCAGTGATCATGATGTCCCCGGCTTGCAGTATGCCCTTGCCACAACTGTGCTCTTGATATGTGAGACCTCGCCGCAATCAGCTGTGCGTTATAGCAGAAAATGTTATGAAAACGTTCTACGGCGCCCTTGTATGACCTCTTTCAGGAAGTTTCTATATGGCACTACCGTATATCACGCAACAGATGAGGGCTCATTTGTTGCACTTACTTGTTTCAGCGGAGCAATCTGTACTTCTTGTGACAGTGTCCCATTACTTCCTAGGCAATCCTATAGGTTTTCAGATGTTCTTGTATTCCTGTCTGATCCTTCAGAGCAGGGCTTGCAGTCTGGGTACAGCATCGCTGTGTGAGAGACGTAGGGAGGTCGTGCTTTTCCGCTGTGGAGGGGGGTGTCGTATTTGGTCATTGGAAGAGGGGGAGCTTTCTGCGTTTTGAAAAAAAAATTTTTTTTCGCTGGTTGCTGGCTTTTCGCGTGGATTTTTCCTCTTTCATGTGTACTATATGCACCCCCCCCCTCCTTCCCTTCACTCACTCTCTGTCTCTCATTCGCTCGACGGAGCGTCTTTGGGTGAAAAGCTGGAAAATGTGGGGAATTGGTAGGTAGATGTTGGGGAAGGGGGGGGGTCGTACCTGTACCACATCATTTCACACATCCTGCTTGCAGTTCTTTTCTTCTCAGTGATATGTATTTCTTGTCCTTTTTCACTGCCTTCTTTGAGTCTCATAATATTTAGTGGTCCTGTAGTTGTGACATTATTCGCTTAACCTCCACTTTTCAATTCTTGCCTTTTTAGCTGAAGTTGAGGCGAGAGTGCATCGACGAAAGCCGTGCTCAAAGAGTGAATGCCATCAGCACGCTGAGGCAGCAACAGCAACAGCGGACGCAGAAGGTTAGCCAACGGAACAGTTCTTTTCGATATGCGTTCTACTCTGAATATTTCTAGATAAATGAGCTGGCGCAGGCTATTGTCGCCGAATGTCTTCACTATCAAGCGGAGAATAACGAGACACTTGAGCAGTGAGTATTAATTTTCTTTTGCGACTTAGATTTTTGTGGTTTGCATCGCTCCGAATCATTCTCAAGGGTTTTCATTCAGAATCGAATCCCAAGACAATGACATGTTAGAAAGAAATCTCAACGAAATCGAGACATGGCAGTCGACGTTCCAAGGACGCGGCGATATCGCTCATGATGCCATTACATCTGCCAACGAAACCGTTAACAAAATTTCGGGGACGGTAACTGCAAGCGTGTAAGTTTTTTTTTTAATGAGCGTCGCTAACTTGGGACTACATTTTCAAAGAGGACTGTACACTACTCCCAAGGAGGGTACTTCCATGAGTGAAGTGAATGGACCCACGGCTGCGGTAGCGTGCCGTTCCCTTAGTACACGGAAGTACACGTGAACGGGGTAGGAGTGTAATGAGACTCGCTCTCGAAAGTGCAGATAATAAGACCCGGGTGTCATCTCCATACTATGCCCTCAGTCTGCAGCACTTGCGTCTATACCGGGATTCTGCTGCAA